TATGAGCTTTGCTCTCTTTCACCGAGTATTATCGTTTTAAGTTTATAACCTTCAAGTTTATAGTATGGTAGACTTTGGACAGCCTGCGTGACACCGGTATTGTCACGGGCTTGTGCGTGCGTACGGATGCTTTAGCTAGAACCGAACATGCGAGTTCGGTGCAATCTGTTCTTGCTAAGTGTCGAGAAGTCCGTAGCCATCTTGGCTCAAGTTCGAGTTGTGTTTTGATAACCCTCATTAATCCTATCATGGCGACACCTGAGGGATCCTCCCTTAGCGTCCACACTCCGCCTCGAGCAGCTGACTCTTCCCCGCTCCCGGTTAACGAGCTTCGTTCGGCTCGACGAGAACTAGCACGGGCTCGGCGATCTCTGCGTGATATAAGGGAGGCTCTTAATAATATTGTGGACAACGGTACCGCGGAGAATGAGGAAGTCATCGAGAATCTCGAACATCAAGAATTGGAGGCGTTAGATAGGGTCAGCTCCGGTGAAGCCCGTGTCACCGCCCTACAGGATTTGGTTGATGCTACCCACAGCGAAGCAACCCGTCAGGCATCGTCCCTCGGTGGAGTCACGGGACGAGAGTCGCCTTCGAACCCCTCAACTTCGGAAGGTGCGGGGGAGACGACCTTGTCGCCCTCTGTTGGTATTCCGAGAGAAGATAGCCGTCAAGAAGAGCTCCGCCCTGAAGAGTCGGCACCAAGGTTCGAGCTCTCTCCCGATCAGCCTTTCCCCGACGCCTCTCGTATCGTGTCTGGTAAAAAGGCTACTACTTCGGAGATCGGTAAGGTTCCAGTTCCGAAGCTGCAGTCGGTTCCATATCTAGCCTCGCATTTGACCTTAGTCGAAGAATTATTTGTTGAAGCCAATGGAGGAGTCCGTTCTACGTCGGGAGTATTCCAGCCACATGATCATCTGAAGTTCACCTGTTACACCAAGTTGGTGGGATCTCTCGCTCCCTACCCTGACGTGTCTCGAGCGGCCCATGAAGTGGCGGCTACCGCTCGATATGACTGGCGTGCCATCTGTTCTGAACTTCGCCACCAGTTCTGTCGCAAAGACCACTTGCGGAAGGAATATAAAACCAGCTTGGCTACATTGAAATTCCCAGGCGTGG